TCCCGCGTGGGTCTCTGGTCCTCCGCAAAGCAGCGACCAGGGCGGCGATGTATGCATTGGGCGTGGAGCAGACGTTGCTTTCGAAACAAGCCGAAGCGGGGTCGGTGCCCAGTGCGCTAGCGCCGTCGTCAGCGCCCGCGCCATCCTCGTCGCGACTGCTCTGGAGGCGGTCGTCCTGCAGAGTCGCCCAGGCGTGTCTCTCCTCGCGCGCTGCAGTAACCAGAGGTCGGTACCCGGGTGCGGGCGCGGGGCCGGTCGCGGCTTCCGTCGGCGCGGGCGCGCCCACGTCCTTACGGGCCGCCTCGGACATACACGGGAGTGCCAGGAGTCCCTTGGCCAGCTTGTGAGGCGATGAAGGTGTGCAGAGTTCAGCACGTCCGCCATGTCCTGCTTCCCGTCGGTACCCCGCGTTGGAGCCGGCTGAAAGTGCGCCCGGACCGCGCCAGGGTGCTCCACGCCCTCGCCCGCCTCGGCGCCCTCGTCTTCACCGGCGCCTCCACTGGTGCTCGCCTTGAGGCGCGCGCTCTGCGCGGCCGCGTCGCTCTGGTACTGCTGGGGTTTCTTCTTCTCGCGCGCCACGCCGATCCCCTCGAGGCTAGGCCCCATAGGAGGAGACTTCCTCGCAATCCACTCACAGACGAGGCTCCCGCCTGATCGGTCACGCGGGCCCATGGCAGTAACGAGTTTGCCGACGACCAGCTCGGTCGACGCTACCCGCAATTCACTTGCAGAAGAGGCTCCCGACACAGACTTCTCCAATATTCAGACCTCAGAGGCCCGAAAGTGAAGACAGTTACAGGGTTTCGATGCCCGCGCGAATTTCTCAGATGAGCTGCGGGCCCCATAGGGAGCTTCCGGTTGAAATTTCCACGCATATCGCTCACAGTTGAGGTTCCCACTTCATATTTCCTCCATTTTCAAGCCTGCGGAGCCCAAAGTGACGACACTTACAGGTTTCCGATGGCCCGCTCGGATCACCAACATGAAGTGCGGGCCCTATATAAGGAGGGGGTTCCCGCCTGCGACGTCCTCGCAATTCAGTCACAGACGAGGTTCCCGCCGCCTGATACTTCCTCTAAACCTCAGGAGCCCAAAAGTTGCGACAGCTAGAGGTGTCGGACGACCCGCTCGGATTACCGACATGAAGCGCGGGCCCCACGGGGAGGGGGCTCCCGCCTGAGATTTCCTTGTAATTCACTCACGGACGAGGTTCCCACCTGATGTTTCCTCAAGTGTGGGTGTGAGTGAGTGAATGAGTGGGTGAGTGACTGAGGATGATGATGTTGATGATGATGATGATGAGAACGAGTGAATGAGTGGGTGGGTCGGTGGGTGACTGAGTGGGCGAGTGAATGATGATGATGATGATGATGATGATGATGATGTTGTTGTTGAAGATGATGGTGATGGTGATGCTGCTGATGATGATGATGATGATGATGATGATGATGATAAGTGTGTGAACGTGTGAGTGTGCAAGTGATGACGACGATGGTGATGATAGCGTGGGTGAGTGAGTGGGTGAGTGGGTGAGTGGGAATGGCGCGTCAGTGATTGAGCGAGTGCGCGAAGGGAGAAGGGAGAACGAGAGAGAGAGAGTGAGAGGGGAGGAGGAGGAAAGATCCTGCGCGGAGGGTGTGCAGAGGATACAAAAGCCCAACTTTGGACGTGGGGAACAAGAACCCCATTTTGGACGTGGGGAAACAGCATGTCCCGGGGAAAGGGTCGGGACTTCCGGGGACCGCGCAATGAAACAAACAGGGCATCGCACGTCTGGGTTCATTAGTCCCACTCGCCCTCTGGGCGTAGGTGGTTTAGGAAGTTTCCCTCCTCCCTTCTTCCCCTCCTCCTCCTTCCACCCCCATTCTTCCCGTGCGGGGAGGGGTTTATCCCTGCCCCTTTTCCACTAGACCTGGACGGGGCGCCCCGTGAGGTGTCAGAGGTTTTCTGTTCGCCCAAGATGGCGCCAAGAGGGCCTCCGAGAGCCCAAGATGGGCCTCAAGATGACTCCCAGGATGCTCCAAGAAGCCCCGAGAACGCTCCAAGACGGCTCCAAGAGGCCTCTGAGACTTCCGAGGAGGCCCCCAAGAGGCCAACATCCTTCAAACACGCAAGGAAAACACGTGTTTTTTTGCATTCTCGCCCGTTCGGTTCGGTAGCCTTCCCAGGCCTCAAGATGGCTCCAAGATGGCCCAAGAGGGCCCCAAGAGGGTTCCAAGAGAGCCTCAGGACGGCCCCAAGAGCGCCCAAGAGCGCCCCAAGAGCGCCCCACGAGGCGATTTCAGACGCTTTTAGAGGGACAACCCTAATTAAGAGCCTTTTCTTTGATCGATGTCCTCCAACATGGCCCCAAGAGTGCCCAGGAGGCCCCACTGGCTGAAAAGCAGCTGGATGCCTATGTCCAAACTGCTCAAATACGTAACAAGTCGAGCGCGCCGCCGCCTTGAGCGGTGGCGCTGGCTCCACGCGCGGCCACACGGTCCGCCGACGTTTGTCAATCACGTACAAATATACGTGTTTCAGCGCCGCAGTACGCGACGGCACGTCGCAGGGTCTGCCGCCCAGGAGGCCCCAAGATGGCCCCAAGATGGCTCCAAGATGGCCCCAAGAGGCCCCCCAGGAGGCTCCCAAGAGGACCCCAAGCGGGCCGCAAGCGGCCCCAAGAGGCCTTCCCGAGGCACCCAAGACGCCCAAAAGCTCCCCAGGACTGCTAAGAGACCCCCAAGACGTCCCAAGAGGCTTCCAAGAAGCGCCCAAGAGATATCCCAAGAGGCTCCGAGAGGCATCCAAGAGACCTCTGGCCCTTTTGCTCGCCTTCCTCCTCGATCCTCCTCCTTCTCCTCCTCCTCCTACTCCTCCTCCTCCTCCTCATCCTATTCATCATCCTTGTCCCCCCTCCCTCATCTATCCCTCCTCCTCCTCCTCTTTCGAACGGTTCGGCTGTCCCCTTTTTGCTCGTACACTTCCCTCATCACCTCAACTCGCCTGGGCGTCGTTTCTGGATGGGGTGGTGGGGATACTCTTTTTTTTTTGTCGCGGCCGCCAGCGAAGAGCGCAGGCGGCGAACAGGGTGTCTGGGCCGACGGGCAAACCTAATTAGCTACTGGGCGCAGCACTAGCCGGCCGGGCCAGCTCACAAAGGCGGCAGCTGGGGCAGCGGCGGCGGGGGGCTGGCTGGCTGAACTGGAACGCCCAGGGAAGCTCGAGCAACGTGCAGCCCTGAGCAAAATGCCAGGGAATTCTGTGTCACGCGCTGTGGCGTCAGACCACTCAGGTGGAGGTGCAGGAAACAGGTGGGGTGACCTGCACGTGCGCTCCTCACAAACAAGGTGGTGGGGAAAGGCGAGGTACACGCTGGTCGAGTCGCCAGGGGGCGCCAAGGGCCAGGACCGTGTCGACGGCGTAGACCAGCCAGGTAGGCTGGGCAAGGGCCGTGTCGACAGCAAGGTGGTGGGGATACTTGTTTGGTCGCGGCCGCGAGCGAAGAGCACACGCGGCGAAAGCAAATGTCCGGGGCAGCGAACAACTGATTAGCTACAAGACGCGCCGCTAGCCGGCGGGCCCACTCACCAAGGTGGTGGGTGGGGATACGCGAAGCGTCAAGCATTTTTGCTTCACCCCGAGAAGTGTGTGGACGTCCCGCGGAGCCCGAGACCCGCCTTAGGCCCAACAGATGGTGACACACCGGCCGCATCGATTGCTTCGAGCCGCCAGACCGAATGCCCGGGTATTCTCCATGATCTGTCCCCCCAGACATGTGATTTGCTGTTTTCTTTCTTCTGGCGCGGTTCCCATAGGTCCCGACCATTTCTCCAAGACCCGTTTTTCTTCCTGGGCTGTTTTTTTGTCGGCTCGTCCGTCCCAGGGCCTGGGGAGGGCCCCCAGAGGCCAAGAACTGCCAAAAACACCCCGTCCCGATTCATGCCACGACGCGAGCGCGTCTGGGGATGCCCGGGTGCCCCTCCGTCGCAGGCCAGGGCCGCGTGCGATCCGATTCGATGCGATTCGATCTTCTGGCTGGGTCCGCGATTCCGATTCGCTTCGAGCCGGCTCAGCTCACCAGCGTCGCCCGGGGGCCAGCGACCAAGCCGGGCGCGGCGATTCGACCGCGGTCCGGCGGGGGGCGGTTCGTTGGCGATCCGATCCGCCCCCGACCCGATCCGAGCTCGCGAGTCCCCTGACCTTCCAGAGAGCTATTTTTCAGCACTGGAGACCTAAAAACCTAAAAAACTAAACGAAACAGCCTAAAACCAAGACGTAGAATAGCTCTGGGATAGGTTTTTAGGTCGGGTGCTATTTTTTAGCCCTCCTGGAAGGTCAGGGTCGATCTGGCTCGGGCGTGCCTGCCCCAGGGCCCCGCCCATATGGGGGCGGCGCGCCCACGGGAGGCCGACTGAGGCACGCCATGCTCCGGCGCCGGGGCCTCGGCCGCGCGGAAGCCCCCCCCCCCGCGCGCGCGCTCGCGAGGCCGTTGGGGTCGTGCGTGGCCCCCCTACAAGAGGAATGCTCACGAAGAGTCCAAAGATAGTTTGGGGCAGTTGTTTGTCAGTCTTGTTTTACCTTCCTGGGATTTTTTTGAGTGTGTGTATATATATATAGATAGATATGTATATTCATGTATGTATATGTATATCTATATATACATATATATACAGTTACATGTGTATATATATATATACATCTGTGTATACATACATATGTATATATATATAGATAAATTCAAACATGCATACATCAATACATCAATAGATACCGCCTGCCCCCGGCCCCGGATGCCACACCTCCTCGTGACATCTCGGGAACGCTCTCGGTACCGCTCCCCCGGGCGTTCCGGGGAGCTTCCACAGCGCTCCAGGAGGGCCCAAGACGATTCCCAGGAGCCCCCAGAATGCGAAAGGATGGCCCAAGACGCTCCCAAGCAGCCCAAGTCAGCCTTCCGACGGCTCTCGAGGCTCCCAGGTGGCCTCCAAGAGACCCCAAGAGAGGTCCGAGAGGCGTCCCGGGATGGCCCGAAGAGGCCAAACTCGTGTTTTTTTCATATGCGTTTTTTCCAATGTTTTTGGTTTCGCGCGTTTTCGAGCTTCCAACGGACCAAAAGCGCCGAAGAGGCTCCCAAGATCGCCCCAAGACCACCCAAGAGACCCTCAGGACGGCTCCAAGACGAGCCAAGAAGGCTCCAAGACTGCCGAAGAGGCGCCCAGGACAGCCCCAGACCACCCCAGAACAGGCCCAAGATGGGCCCAAGAGCGGGAGCAGGAGGCTTCCAGAGACCTCCGAGAGGCTTCCGGGACCACCCAGAGGCCCCCAACACACCCCCGATCCCTGAGATGCCCCAAAAAGACACCGACGAGGCTCCAAGAACAGCCCACGAGAGCTGCGAGAGCCGTTCCGAGAGCCCGAAGAGGGCAAAATCGCTGATTTCCCATAGTTTTTCGATTGATTTTCGCCTTTCGCGTTTTCCCGCTTCCAACCCTCGACGATCGAGGATTTTGGAAAAAGGGGATTCCCAGAATTTTTGTTTTTCCAAGTGGGACTCCTACTCGGGGGTTCTACACATCCCCTGACATCTGGCCGGTACCACGCCTCCCGTCTTCCCGGGGGAACCCCGAAGGACAGACAGCCCATGACGCCCCCAAGAAGCTCTCAGAACGTAAAGAACGGCCCAAGACGCTCCCAAGCAGTCCAAAACACCCTGTGGACGGCTCTCCACGCTCCCAGGAGGCCTCCAAAAGGTCCTTAGAGAGGTCCGAGAGGCGTCCCCGGAAAGCCCAACGAGGCCAAAGTCGATTTTGATTGTTTTATGGTGTTTGGCCTTCTCGCGTTTTCGAGCTTCCAACGTCCAAGACCGCCCCAAGACCGCCGAAAAGACTCCCAGGACGGGTCCAAGACGGGCCAATAAACCCCCAAGATTGCCCCGGCCTCCTGGGAAGCTCCAAAAACGCTCCAGGACGCCCCAAGACAGCCTCACGAACCCCTCAGAATGCAAAAGAACAGACCACAATTCAGACCCCTCTCACCTCCCCGAAATGAACACAGGAAGCCTTTGAGGGCCCCAAATCGTTGAATCCCTGAAGGTAATTAATGGTTTCTGCGTTCCACATTTCCCTTCTATACGATTCCGAGGCTAGCGCAGGGCCTTCAAGGGAGTCCCTGGATTCAAGAAGCGACCAAAATGATATTACATGAGTTAGCCTATCAAGCCTAGCTAGAACTTGAGCGCGCGCGAAGCGCGCGCGATGATTCGAGTACACATATATATATATATATATATACATATATATATAACCTTTCGCGTTCTTTCGTCCAAAATCCGCCTGTAGGAGGACATGCCCGACCTAACAGAAACCGTGGCCCTCCTCGCGGGTCTGGCGAGCTCTCGGTGGATGCACGCCGGTCGTCGAAAGCAGGTTTTTTGGGTGTCCAGACGCGTGCCTCCAGGGCGCCCCTGGGAGTTCTGACGTAGTATTAGGTCGGGCATGTCCTCTTACAGGTGGATCTTGGCCCAAAAAACAATAGATAGACAAAACGTTCCCCCTAAATATTCAAAACAAGTCAAAACATATCCCCATTTTGTTTGTTTACTATTTGTGATTTTTCCCCCTGTAGAGGGACACGCCCGACTTAAAGGTAGTCAAGGGGTGTGATGGAAAGAGGTGTGGTGCCAATGCTGGATCTGGCGAGATCATTCATCGTAGGTCGCATCGCCATCTCCACGATTGGTGCCACACCCCTTTGTGCCACACCCCTTTCCGACCTCCAGAGGAATCGAGTCAGGAGGGAAAAAAACACACAGACACAATTAATCGGCGATTCCCAGGAAAATATGGGAAAATATGGGAATTGGGGGGGAAGACAAAAACCCAGAAAATATAGGAAAATATGGGGACTATTTTTATTTGTGTGTATTTATTTGTGTGTCCTAATTTCCCTTTATCGAGGCCTCCCAGATGGGGTTGCCAGAGAGGGGGTCGGAGGACCGCGCCGCGTCGCCGAGGCGTCGGCGGTGAGGGCCGATGTGGAGCCCGAGTTTCTTCACGCATGCGTCGCCGATGCATCGCCGTCGTTGGCCGTGCCGTTCCCTACGAACCCTCAGATCCGCTACGAAGGAAACCCAGACATCCAGCGTCTCAAAAAAAAACAAAAACGAGAAGGTGTTCCACCGTCATAGTTTTCGGCAGCTCGGGGCCCCTGCCAGACCCTGGGAGCGTCAGAAAACGAATCGGGATGAGAAGCCGGCCTCGGGGAAGTGCTCGAGAGCACAGGGGCCCGCGCCTCGCGAGAAAGTCGGGGCGCCGGGCGTCTCGGAAAGGGGTCCTGCGGGAAGAGGGCCCCGGAGGGTTCTGCACGAGCTCCTGCCCCTTGCGGCCCTCGGGCGGGCTCCCGGGGCCATCAGAGGCGGACTCAGGATGAAGATCAAGAGGGGGAAAAACACACAGACACAATTAATCCTCGATTCCCCAGAAAATATGGTAAAATATGGGCAGTGGGGGGGAAGACACAAACCCAGAAAATATGGGAAACTTATCCCGGCAAAGCAACCTAACAGCGATGTGTAGAAGCATATCTGAAAGCATTCCCCTTAAGATTCAGATGAAGATCCAGTTGTAGAATTCTGCTGTTCTCGCAGTCGTAGTCGCATTCGCGATGACAGTCGCAGCGGCAACGGCAGTCGCAGTCACAGCCTCAGCCTCAGCCTGCCTCAGCCTCAGCCTCAGCCTGCCTCAGCCTCAGCCTGCCTCAGCCTCAGCCTCAGCCTGCTTCAGCCTCAGCCTCAGTCTGCCTTCAGCCTCGGCCTCAGCCTCAGCCTGCCTCAGCCTCAGCCTGCTTCAGCCTCAGCCTCAGCCTCAGCCTGTCTCAGCATCATCAGCCTCAGCCTCAGCCTCAGCCTCAGCCTGCCTCAGCCTCAGCCTCAGTTTGCTTCAGCCTCAGCCTCAGTCTGCCTTCAGCCTCGGCCTCAGCCTCAGCCTGCCTCAGCCTCAGCCTGCCTCGGCCGCAGCATCAGCCTGCCTCAGCATTCAAAATGTGGCCCAGGAATGGAGTTCTGGGAACTAGAAGAACACGAAGTGGCCTACAGTTGGCTCCGGGCATTCAAAATCATGCCCAGGAATGGAGTTCTGGGAACTTGAAGAGCACGAAGTGGCCTACAGTTGGCTCCAGGCATCCAAAATGTGGCCCGGGAATGGAGTTCTGGGGAATCGAAGAGCACGAAGTGGCCTACAGTTGGCTCCGGGCATTCAAAATGTGGCCCGGGAATGGAGTTCTGGGAACTCGAAGAGCACGAAGTGGCCTACAGTGGGCTCCGGGCATTCAAAATGTGGCCCGGGAATGGAGTTCTGGGGACTCGAAGACCACGAAGTGGCCTACAGTTGGCTCCGGGCATTCAAAATGTGGCCCGGGAATGGAGTTCTGGGAAATCGAAGAGCACGAAGTGGCCTACAGTTGGCTCCGGGCATTCAGAATGTGGCCCGGGAATGGAGTTCTGGGAGGTCGAAGAGCACGAAGTGTGTGACTGTTGGCTTAAAGCGACTTCTGCGGCACCCTGTCCGGCACCCGCCCAGACCCCCCTGTGGAGTCATCTGCTGCTCTCTTTTGAGACTACTAGAAACCTATCAGTCTTCGCTGTTAGGTAATATGGGGGATATTTTTATTTGTGTGTATTTATTTGTGTATCCTGGGGCCCATTCAGAAGAGCTGGGCCTGGGGAACGCCCTGGGTCCAAGACCCGCTTCCCTCGGGACAAGTTTCGGCGGCGAGCGAGGGGGGGAAGTGAGAAGGAGAAAGCCTTTGCAGAAGGCGGCGGGGCTCCCGAGAAGTGCCCCGTGTCCTCGCGGGAGGCTCAGAAAACTCCTCGGGGGGCCGTGGGACCTCCGAGCCTCTGAGAAGGCCGGTTCCTTCTCACTTCCCCCCGCAATGCAGGCGCGCCGCCAAAAGTTACGCTGCAGCAGGAGTCGCGATGGCCGGAGTTTCGCCGCTCGCGGCCCCATCTTCCGGCCTCGGGGCCGCCGGGGACCCAGCTCAGGGCGGCACGCCGGCCTGGGAGCAGGGGAGAACACGAGAACAAAACGTAAAACGTAACGTTAGGTCGGGCATGTCCCCCTACAGGCGGCGGATTCTGGACGAAAACTAAAAGTAGTCAACAAATATGCAAAAATGGTCAACAGCTACTCAAGGAAAACGTCCCCATATTTGTTTTACCATTTTTGAATATTCCTCCTGTAGAGAGACAGGCCCGCCTTAAACGTAACGTCCTCAGGCGTCCGACGATGTCTTCTTCTCGCTCCGCGGCCCCCCGCACGTCTCGACCACTTCTCCTTGGGCTGCCTTGCGTTCCAGACCCACTTCTGACTGCCTCGGAGGCCCGAAACGGCCCTGGAGGCTGATATCGAGGACAAACCACCAGGATTCAACATCTGATCGTCGGATATCTGGGCCAGAATAGAAGGAAGATCGCCCAACAAAAATATCGATGATCGAGGGTCTGCGTCTTTTGGGCTTTTGTAGGGCCTCCAGGACGTTTCCCCGCGGCCGCGGCTCGATGTGCTTCGAAATTCAGGCCAGAGCGCACCCAATGATGGATTCGGAGCTTCATCTTAAGGCCCGTCTCGAAGAAAACGAAACGGAAGTTTTTGAACGCTTCGGTCGTTTTGGGCCTCGTCGTCGCGTCTGTCTTAGTATTGGTTCTGGTCAGGACGCACCCCACGAGATTTGGGGTTCGCGTTTTGAGCAGCCGATCCCAATCGTCGGACGTCTTGAGACAAGAGGTTTCGTTTTCTCCTGCATGTTCGGCCGCCTGGGGCACTCGCCGGGAAGGGCGATCAGAAAGCGGCCCGGGATGGAAAGCTGGTTCCGGGAGAGGGGGCGCCAGGGCCGGGGGCCCATGCCTCGACGGAATAGAGCCGCCAGAAGGGAAAATAGGAGGAGGAGGATGAGGAGGTGGAGAACCTGTTGCGAACCTGTCCGTTTCGTTCTCGTGCTCCACGAGGCCGCCTGCCTTGCTGCCTCATCCTTCCGTGCGGACGATGAGGCGTCTGCTCTTGCCCGCCTGCCGTCGGCAGGCCCCTGACGCCACAGGTGTGATCGCCTAGCGGCCTGCGCAGAAAAAAAAGGTGGAGTCCTGCATGCTCGTTTGCGGTGCTTCTTGCTGCTGCGTGCTTGTCGCAGGCATCGCTCCGCAGCGCCCGGCGGCCGTCTCCCAGCGGCCGGCAGCTGTCCTTGTTGCACGATCCCCGGAGCCTTTAGCGCGGAGCTCCTCGATCATGAAACTGTGATCGACGATGTGAGATCATCGGTCCACAGTTCTGATGTGTCGGAGGCACTGTTGTCAGGAAGGCCGTAGACCCTAGAAGGCATTAGTGAGTCTAAACTTGGACGCATGTTTTGAATATTTGTATCATTCGTCCAACATCCGCCTGTGGGAGTACATGCCCGCGGATGATGCTGATGATCGTGATGATGATGATGGTGGTGGTGATGATGATGATGGTGATGTTGCTGATGATGATGTTGATGATGTTGATGTTGATGATGCTGTTGATGATGATGCTGATGCTGATGATGCTGATGATGATTATGATGATGATGATGATGATGATGATGATGATGGTGATGGTGATGGTGATGGTGATGGTGATGGTGATGGTGATGGTGATGGTGATGGTGATGATGACACCGAAAAGCACAGTGAACGACCGTCCGAGCGGTGGCACCCGACGCGCGGCTCGACGATCGGCCCAGGCTTATGTCGGGCGTGCCCTACAGGCGGATTCTGGACGAAACATGGGACGTCGTCGAAAAGTAAGAAAATGCCCCAACATACTGAAAACCACCGTCCCGATAATTGTTTGATCATGTTTGAATATTCCTCGTGAGGAGGAACGCGCGATGTATCGCCGATTCATCGCCGATGTATCGGCGATGCTACTCCGACCCCATCTTGGGGGCCTCTCGTGATGGGGGCTGGCTCTTCGTGTTTTCCCCACGACGCAGGAGGAGGAGGAGGACGAGGACGAGGAGGAGGAGGAGGTTGGCTACTCCGACCCCATCTGGGAGGCCTCTCCACGCGCAGCTCGACGATCGTCCGAGGCCCCCGCGGCCGCGGCGCCCGGGCCGCCGGGCTCCCGGCGGCCGCGGCGGCGGCAGCGTGGGCCGCCGGGCTCCGGGGCGCCGCGGGGGCGGCGCAGGGCGGAGGAGGCGCCCCGGCGGGGCCGGGCATCAAGCAGTGGCGAAGCGTCCCGGCTCGCCTATAGCCATACCAAACAATGTTCTAAGAACCTTCTGTGGTTTCCACGAAATGTGCTTAGAACATTTCTGGCGGAGTCCGTCTTGTTTTAGCACATGGGGTTTATGTTCTAAGGGAACAGCGTTTGTGTCCTTAGAACTTGTTCGGGTTCTAAAAACATTTCGTGGTAGGACTATAGGAATGCCAGGACGTTCGGTCCCTGCTCAAGAGTCGGGGCTCAAGACAAGGGGAACGAGCAGTGACGAAGACCTATAGGCTTCCTAGATTCGAAGAAGAAGACAAAGCGCCATAGACAGAAACTTTTTGGCGCTGCGCGCGGAGTTCTTGGATCCGTGCTGGGCCCCCCTGGCGGCGCCTCCGGCGCCTCCCCTGGCGCGTTCCGGTCCGGCGCGGATCCATGAAATCCGCGCGGAGCGCCAATAGTTTATGTTTGTGGCGTTTTTTTCTTCTATAGATGGGGTCCGAGTAGATGGGGTCGGAGGATAGCGCCGCATCGCCGATGCATCGGCGATGCGGCGCGATGCGGAGCCCGATTTCCTCCACGCCCACGTCGCCCAAGGCACCGCCGACGTCGCCGATGCGTCGCTGGTTTATCGCCGATGCATCGCCGATGCATCCATCGCCGATGTATGGGCGATGCGGCGCGGTCCTCTGGCCCAATCTATTCCAACCCCATCAGGGAGGCGCCCCGCGGGGCCGGGCAGGCGGCCGAGGGTTGGAGTCGGGAGCCTTGAGACGGGGGTCAATGCAAGCGGGGGTCAGCCAGAGCGCCGGATCTTGCAGGATCCTGCATGGCCAGGGTCGCATTGACCCGGGTTTGGGTGCACGATCCTGCAGGATCCTTCGCATTGGGCCAGGTTTGGGTGCAGGATCTTGCAGGATTTTGCGAGGCCTGACTGACCCAGGTCTGGATTGACCTGGGTCAGAAGATCCCCGATGGAGTCGGTGTTTAAGATTAGGGTGTTTCAATTTGTTCGGGCCGCGGGGCGTTTTCGTTGAGATTCGGACCCCGGGTCCCTCAAATATTGATCTGGCTCGAATAGAAATCCAGAAAGATGAGGTCTCTAGCTAAGGCTCCAGTCGTGATGTGTCGCGATGTGTCATGTGTCTCGAGACGTCGGATCCGTGCTCCAAAATGATCGGAGCGCGCGTTTTTGGTCCGTTTTCGGCCGCTGAGGGCCTTTCGCTGGGCCTCGGGGCCTACAAATAACGACTGAGGATACAAAACCGGCCATAGGGCAGTGATCCAGATCTCTGGCTCACCGCATGGTGTCCACCGAGCAGCTTGCACAACATAGCGCATTCCACATAGGTCACATCGCATACATGAGGTTCGCATCACATAGCTTACACATCATAGGGTACACAATGAAACTCACACCACGTAGCGTACACGGCATAGCTGATACCACATTTATTTCGCAACGTCCTCGCCTCCACGGTACAACCACTCACAGTTTAGGGCCCATGTTGTCTAAGACACAAGTTTACAGACATACATAAGCATATGTATATATATATATGTGTGTATGCATGCATACATATATACACTTGAATATGCATGTGTATATACACATATATATATGCATACACGCATACAGACATACATGAACACATACAGACATACATGCATACCTACATGCATACATACACACATACACACATACATACAAACATACATACACACATACATACACTCACGCGCGCATACATCCACACATTCATATATCAGAGTGAGGGGGCCGAACGGTCATTCATTGTCTCTGGGTGCGTGGCTGGAGTGAGAATCCGTGGTGATGAGTATGTTTGTTGCGTTGTTGCTGCTGCTGCTGCTGCTGTTGTTGTTGTTGTTGTTGAACTCTCATTCTTGAAGAATAATTATTGTTGATCCCCCCCACCGGTGCACATTGATTTTTTCGATTGAAGTGCCACCCCCGGGGCTCGCACCTTGTTTTTTCTCAAGGAAAGTCTTCCTGCTCAAACTGTGCCCCTGCCCCCCGGGCTACAACAACAACGGCTCCCGCCGAGACTTCCTCGATTTTTACTCAGGACCCCCGCTCCCGCCTGAGACTTCCGCGCAATTTACTCAGGAAAGGCGCTCCCGTCTGAGACTTCCTCGCAATGTAATCAAGACCCCCGCTCCCGCCTGAGACTTCCGTGCAATTTACGTTGGAACGGCGCTCCCGCCTGAGACTTCTTCGAATTTTACTCAGGACCCCCGCTCCTGCCTGACATTTCCGCGCAATTGACTTAGGAACGGCGCTCCCGCCTGAGACTTCCTCGCAATTTAGTGAGGACCCCCGCTCCCGCCTGAGACTTCCGTGCAATTTGCTCAGGAACGGCGCTCCCGCTTGAGACTTCCTCGCAACTTAGTCAGGGCCCCCGCTTCCGCCTGAGATTTCCTCACAATGTACTCAGGACTGCGCTCTCGCGTGCGACGTCCTCACAAATTATTCTGGAATTGCGTTTCGGCGCTCAGGAACCACGCACGCGCCAAGGACGCCTTCACAACGTGGTATCTTCCCTCTTCCTTCGTCCTTCCCCCTCCCCTTCCTCCCACTCTCCCTCGTTCTTCCCCTCCTCCTCTTGCAGGGCCCGCGCCAATTCCAATGGCGGGCAGAGAGATGTACGCCCCCGAAGGATTGTCCGCCCGTTCCGGTTTGCCCGTACGTCTAAGCCCGCCGGCCCCAACAAAGAGAAATAATCCCCCCAAAAGGGATGTGATCGAAGACGAAGAGGGCGGGCATCGAGGGTGTAGGGTATACGTGTTGAATGACTCGCGGGCAAGTAAGAGCGCACAGCCTTAAAATGGTTGTTGTTTTTGTTTTCGTTGTTGATGTTGTTGTTGTTGTTGTTGTTGCTGTTGTTGTTGGTGCTGGTGTTGGTGTTGTTGTTGTTGTTGTTGTTGTTGTTGTTGTTGTGGTTGTTGTTGTTGTTGTTGTTGTTGTTGTTGTTGTTGTTGTTGTTGCTGTTGCTGCTGCTGCTGCTGCTGTTGTTGTTGTTGTTGTTGCTGTTGTTGTTGTTGTTGTTGTTGTTGTTGTTGTTTGATGTCGTCCCCCTCGCGACCCACCCGCGACCCACCCCGCGACCCACCCCGCGCCCACCCGCGACCCACCCGCGACCCACCCGCGACCCACCCCGCGACCCACCCCGCGACCCACCCCGCGACCCACCCCGCGACCCACCCCGCGACCCACCCCGCGACCCACCCGCGACCCGCGACCCACCCGCGACCCACCCGACCCACCCGCGACCCACCCCGCGACCCACCCGCGACCCACCCCGCGACCCCCGCGCGACCCACCCGCGACCCACTTGCGACCCACCCGCGACCCACCCCGCGACCCACCCGCGACCGCGATCAACACTGTTTTGGAGAAAATATCGGCGCCTGCGGCGGGTTCGTTGTACGTAGCACCCCGCAGTTGCGAATAAGACGGAGGGGGCTGCGAGGACGTAGGCAGTCTGCGAGGCTTTGAATAAGCCCGCCGCAGGCGCAAAAAAATCAAGCTACACAACGAGCCCGCCGCAGGCGTCGATTTTTTTGTCAACAGTGTCGGTGGATCGCGGGTTGAGTCGCAGGTGGGTCGCGGGTGGGTCGACGGTGGGTCGCGGGTGGGTCGCGGGCCGGGTCGCGGGTGGGTGGCGGGTGGGTCGCGGGTGGGTCGCGGGTGGATCGCGGGTGGGTCGCGAGCGGGTCGCGGGGTGGGTCGCGGATGGGTCGCGGTTGGGTTACGGGGTGGGTCGCGGTTGGGTCGCGAGGTGGGTCGCGGTTGGGTCGGTCGCAGGGGGGACGACGAAAACGACAACAACAACAACACCAACAACAACAACAACAACAACAACAAGCAGAATTTTCACCAGGGATCTGCACTTCAGCCACGCACCCAGGAACAATGAATGACCGTTCGGCCCCCTCACTCTGATAATTTGGGGAAATTTGGCGCCTTACATACAAACAGACACACACACATGCGTACATACAAACATACATACATACCTACCTACCTACCTACCTACCTACCCACCCACCCACCCACCCACCTACCTACCTACCTACCTACCTACCTACCTACCTACCTACCTACGCACGTACGTACGTACGTGCATGCATGCATGCATGCATGCATGCATGCACACATATATATATACATACATACATATATATATGTATGTATATATATATGTATGTGTAAATATACATATATATATATATATATGTATACATATCTGTATAACTTACATATGACATATGCATACATTCAGGCAGGCAGGCAGGCAGGCAGGCAGGCAGGCAGGCAGGCAGGCACACATACATGCATGCATGCATGCATGCATGCATGCATGCATGCATGCATGCATACACACATACATGCACACATACATGAACACCGACATAACTACGTACATCGAGACCTTCGTACATACACCATGTACGATATGTCCATGTGCAAGTTCATGCCCCCCCCCAGCGCCCCTACCCGCACCTGGATGACATCTCGCGCCAACCCCGGCACCAGGCAGCCCCAGGGGTCTCCCAGGCGGCCACAGGAGAGCCTCGGGACGCTCCCGCGGGCATCCCGGGCGGCCCGAGGAAGGCCAGGAGCGGCCCGGAGCGCCTCCGAGACAGCCCAGGAGAGGCTCTGAGACCGCCCACGGCAGTGCCCCCCCACGGCCGCAGAGGCTCCCACGGGCACCCAAGGCAGTGTCTGGAGGCCTCCAAGAGGCCTCCAAGGGAGATCTATGGCTTCTGAGTTCTCGCATTTTCGCTGCCGGTGCGCTTTCGAGGCTTGCGCATGATCCTCACGAGAGCTCCGAGAGGCACCCCAGGAGACCCCACAGGCCACCAAGACACTCGAAACGGCATCCACGAGGCCCCAAAGGGGCTCCCAACAGGCTCCGAAAAGTCCCAGGAGCCGCCCAAGAGGCCCCCACGGGCTCACAGAAGCCCAAAGAGCGCCCAAGGAGCCACCAAGAAGCCCCCAAGAGCCCTCACCTCGACAATGCTCCCCACGGCGGGCATCATACCTGATGCCTGACTCAATCACTCCCGACGACTGGTGCGAGACCTTCACACGCAGGCCTGATGTGCCCAGAGGCCTCTCCGGAAGCTTCTGAACGGCGGCATGACGACGATGTTAATAAGTATGTTCACGACGACGAGAAGGATGTTCACAGTTCCGATGAGAACGACGATTAACTACGATGATGATGGTGAGGATGATGATGATGATGATGATGATGATGATGATGATGATGATGGTGATTATGACTATGATGCTGGTGATGCTGAGGATGAGGATGCGGATGAGGATGATGGTGACGATGATGATGATGATGATGATGATGATGATGACCATGACCATGATAATGATAATGAGGCTCATGAGGCTGGCAATAGCTACGCTGATGATGGTGGTGATGGTGATAGTGATGATCTTGATGACGGTACATGGTGGTCATTGTGATAAGGGTGATGGTGATGGTGATGATGATGATGATGATGATGATGATGGTGATGGTGATGGTGATGGTGATGATGATACCCCCCCCCAGACAGCTTAATATGGTCCACAGACGCCCCAAAATGTTCCCGCGAGGCTTCCAAGAGGCTTCCAGGAGGCCTCCAGGGCGGACCAAGATGTGTCCATGGTTTCATTTCGACGACATACATCTCCATTGTTGCATGATAAGGAGGGTCACGTACGACGACGACGATGCTGATGATGATTGCAACGACGATTATAATATTTATGATGATGAGAGTGATGTTGATGATCCTGATAATGCTGATGATGATGACGATGGTGGTTGTGGGGTTGATGATGGTGGTGCTGATGATGATGCCGATGAAGACGACAAGGATGATGATGATGCTGATGATGATGGTGATGATGATGATGGTGGTGATGATGATGACGATGCTGCTGCTGGTGACGATGGCGCTGACTACGACTGCGACAGAAATGTTGATGATTGTGTTTCGGAAGTTAGTCATATTGTTACTGACGTTGTTGATGATGCTTATGACGACGATTCCTCTGAACGTTGATGGTTGATGATTGCCACGCGAGTGTGACGTAATCGTATGGCTAGCAGTATTGGTCCAAATCGCTGTTCTTAATACTTACGTTGTTCTAGCGTTTGATGGTGAGTATTATCGTAATGGTGAGTATGAAGCTGATTAGTCGGATGGTAAGAAATGAGGGTGAGGATGGGAATGATGACAAGGGAGAAGCTGGGTAAGACTGGCACGCGCTTGTGCATGGTAGCGCTGTTCAAGCTCTCCTAGCGCCCCCCCTCGGCCTGCGCTAGAACCTGAGCGCGCGCGACGCGCGTGGAGGCATTTTGGTGCCCCTTCGGGGCCGCTTGGTGCTTTTTCTTGGGGGCGCATTTTGAGCTTCTCTGGGGGCGTCTCGAGGGCCTCTTGGCGGCCCAACTGGCGGTTCGTGGGGTCCTCTCAGGGCGGATGGCTCGACATGGCAATTCAGGAGCCTCTTGAAGCTGTTTTGTCCTCCTCTCGAGTAGTTTTGGAGGCCTCTTGGGCCGTCTTTGGCCCTCTTGGGAGCCTTTTGGGCCGTGTTGGAGCGTTGGAAGCCCGACACGGCGAGAACGTGAGCGCCGCTCAAATGCAAAAGAAACCATACAGTTGTGTCTCTTGAGGCCGTCTCGGGTTTTTTTCGGGGGGCCTTCTTCGGCCGTCTTGGAGGCCTCATAGGCTGCCTTCGGGCCGATTTGGGCATCTTGGGACGCTGTTGTGCTGTCTCGGGGGCATCTCGGACCGTCTCAGGGGTATTTGAGAAGAGCCTATATTAAAGAGTGCAGATTCGTGAGGACCTAAGGACACTCCATGTAGTTCCTATGGCACCTCGGCGTATGCGTCATACTTGGACATGTTTACTTAATGGCGAAGCTCCAGCGCAGACCAGGATACGTCTTACGGGGATATGTCGACCGTCCCTGAGCTTAGTTGGAGCCCCCAGGGACCGATAGTATATAGAGAAACAACAAAACCTGAGATCCCCAGAGCACCAGGGTCGACGCCGTTGGCGGGTTCGTCGCCGTCTTCGTCTTCGTCGTTCTTGCGACCGTCGTCGTCATTGTCCTTGATGTCTTTAGTGTCGCGGTCGTCTTTAGGGTTCGTTGCTGTCGTCGTTGTCGTCCTCGGATTCATCGTCGTCGTCGGGGTCGCCGCCGTCATTGTCCAGGTCACCATCGGCGTCGTCGGGGCCGTCGCCGTCCTGTGCTGTCGTCGTCGTCGCCGCCGTCGTCGTCGCCGTCGTCTTCGCTGCTGTCGTTTTTTTCTGTTTCGCCGCCGCCGCCGTCTGCGTCCGTCGGGGATGGGAGGCGGGCTGGACGAGGAGCGGAATGAGTTAAGAAGTGTCGGGATGGAGCAGGAGCACGGAGGATCCTCCCTCCCCCTTCTCCCCCGTCGCCCTCCCTGGCGCCTGCAGTGTGAGTTGACATCCCGGGGGTGGGGAGAAAGACCGGGAGGGGGGAGGTTCTCCAGACAGCCGTCGCGGTGATTGTTTCCACACGTGGCTCCCCTGAGGTCCGCACCCCCTTCCAAGGGACCAGCTTTTCACCCCGAGTCCCGGGGCCCAGGATAGGGCCCCCCTGGTGGTTGAGAACTGCAATGGGCCTTCAGTCGTGATTTTTTCCTCGACGCGAGGACGTTAAGGGGGAGGACCCTCCCTCCCCCCATCTCCCCGCCGCTCTCCCTGGCACCCGCAGTGTGAGCTGACATCCTGGGTGCGGGCAGGGCTGTGCAACGTCTCCGGCGAGCTGGTGAGCATCCCTTGCAGGCGTTGGCGACCGCGCGGGCTCTTTCGCGCGTGTCTCAGAGTTCCTGTTGTCGGCTCGAAGGCGCCTGCGGCAAATCACCGCCGCCCCCTGCCATTTGGAAACGCCTATGCGGCTGAACGTTGTGGCCAGAATTCGGCCACGCTATCGGACGCTCAGGGAGCTCCGGGACGGGAGGCGTTACCCCTGAGGGCTGGGGGGGGCTTAGAAGATTTCCAGAAGGTGTACCAGGCAACATTTTCGTTCTACTGCGCCTCCCCTTGCCAGGGGGCACAGGGGCGGTTCAGGCAGGTTTCTCCCGCACCTTCCTCATTGTATCGCCGATAGTAGTGGCCGTTGCAGCTAGCAAGAATGAGTCAAATGATTCACCCGCCCGTCGCGATGCACTCAAAAAGCTGCGGAGCAGGTATCCCCGCTGCCGCCACAGCATGGACACTGGCAGGAACAGAACGGAGCGCGGCCTGGAGTACCACCGCTCGCTCATAGACAGGCCCGCCGCCTTGTTGTTGGACGACGAAGTGGAAGTGGAGGAAGAGGAGGAGAAGAATGAGGAAGAGGAGCAGGCCGAGTATCAGGAGGAGGAGGAGGAGGAGGAGAAGATGGAGGAGGGGAGGAGGAATCCGAGGAAAGGTGGGTGACCGGTGACGGGACGGGTGACGGCGGACAGGTGGCGAGAAGGAGAACGGAGAAGGCGAGGGGGGGAAGGAGGCGAGAGGCGGAGGAGGAGGAGGAGGAGGAGGAGGAGGAGGAGGAGGAGAAGGGTAAGGCGGGCCCACCTGACCCTTCTCCTTCCGTTCCTTCCCCGCCTCGCCGCCGTCGGCCTCGCCTCAGCCGCAGCTTCCCCCTGCCAGCTCCCCCACCCACCCGCCCATCTGCTCCCGCCTCCTTGCTCTGCATACGCCCATTCCTCCCTGCGTTCTCCCCCATCTCCTCTCGCCCCGCGGGTCTCTCGCTCCCCTTTCTCTCTCCCTCGTTGCTGGCCCCCTCGCCGTCTCACCCCGATCCCGAGATCTCTCGCAAGTGCTGCATGGGGCCTCCCTGGGTAAGGCCAGCCTCGTCAGAGCTAGCCTTGTGGAGGACGATCAATGGAGAGGAATCATGTTGCCAAATAATTTCCGGATGCCTAGAACATGTGTTGAACCTGTTCCAAGCACGTAAAACACAAGCTTGAACATGTTTAGAACATGTTTCAAACACTTTAAACACATGTTTAATTCAATGATCGGATTGCTAGGGTGTCCACTGTCTCGGCATCCGCAAAGCTAGCCACGCTTCGGGGAGGGGAGGGCCGCAGGCTCGAGCCTCTGCCCTGGCCGAGCGCCGCGCCCTCGCCGGCGCCCCGGCCGTCCCCGCCGCTGGACGACCCCTGGCGCAAGCCGACGCTTCTTTTCAGCCATGCGCAGAGGGGGGGCGGGGGGGGGGAGGGCTTCTTAGAATCGGGCCGGACGGAAGGGGGGGATTGAGAAAGGGGGGGGTCACGAAATGTGCTGCATGCGGCTGGTTTCGGCCCCACCGAGGGGCCCAGGCCTCGGTACACGGCCGCCTCTGGCGCCGGGAGGCGCCAGGAAGATCAGCTACGCGAGCTGATTCTCAAACCCCCCCTTTGCTATCCCCCCCTTTCGCCCAGCCCGATAGAAGCGCCCCTGCCTATTAGAAGGCGAGGACCTCATCTATAGATTTAAGGCCGGCGCCTTCTAAGAAGCAGCCTCCTCCTAAGAAGTCCTCCCCCCTCCCCCCACCCCCTTTTGCGCGCCGCCAATATTTGGAGGGGTCGTCACGTGGCTCTAGAAGCAGAAGAAACGCCAGAAGCATAAACTTTTGGCGCTCCGCGCGGGTTTCTTGGATCAGCGCCTGGGCCCCCCAGCGGCACCTCCGGCGCCGCCCCTGGCGCGCTCCGCACGCCAGGGGGGGTGTCCAGCGCAGATCCAAGAAATCCGCGCGGAGCGCCAACAGTTTACGTTTATGACGTTTTCTCTTCTTTTAATCACGCGTGTTTAACCAATCAATCAATCAATAACGCCGTGTCTGCACGACGCATCGGCCGCAGAAGTGCCGTCGGTTGGAGGCGTATGTCCAGACCAGGGCACAACAAGTTAGGACAGTTCAGGAAAATAGCGCCCCTGCTGGCGATTGTCTTCCACACGTGCGGGTTAACGCGTTCACCGTTGCGAGATTGAGGCAAATCGCTCTCCTGAGAGGGGGTAGCAGGGAGAGGGGGGGCAGGAGGACGAGGAAGGGAGGGGGAAGGCTGAGGAATTTCTGGCGCCCGCACAGTTCTCGCTGGTGAGTTCTTTCTGGGCGACAGTGCGCGGGTGGCGGTTGGAGCCGGCTGAGGGTCTGAGGTGGCCCAGCATCGGTCCCGTCGAGCAGGAAGGGAAGGCGAGGCTCGAGGTTCTGGGTTCGAGGAGGTTTTTTGTCTTTTTCGATCTCCCGGGGGGCCGTTTTCGGGCCCCGGGACCGTCGAAGGCAGATCCGGGGTGAAAGATTGTACGTAGCACCCCGCAATTGCGGATAAGAGTGAGGGGGCGGGCGCGGGCGACGCGGGCGTCGTCGAGCCGGCGGACCTCGTGGCCCCCACCTTCCTTGTCGATGGTGCTCTCCTCCTCCTCCTCCTCCTCCTCGTCGTCCTCGTCCTCATCCTCATCCTCATCCTCCTCCACCTCGGCCTCCTCCTCCCCCTCCTTTTCTTCCTCTTCCTCCCTCTCTCCCCCTCGTCCTTTCATCATCGTCCTCCCATTGTTGTCCTCCCCCTCATCGGCCTCCATCATCGTCCTCCCATTGTCGTCCATCATCATCATCCTTCCCCTCCTCCCCCTCGTCCTCCTCCTCCCCCTCCTCCCACTCCTCCCCCTCCTCGTCCTCCTGCTCCTCCTCCTTTCCTTTCTCCACATTCTCCTTACATCCTCTTTTCTTCCGCGTCCTCCTCGTCCCCTGTTTACTCCTCCTGCCTCCCCTTCTTTTCCCAAGATAGCTGCAACACAATCCTGGTTTCCACTTTATGCTCCCCGGCTTCTCTGATCAAGGCAACTCGCCAGGGCAAAGTTGCTGGACGGGCTGGTGTGGATGCGCGGTGCTGGAAGAGGTCTTTGCGGGCTCAGACGGCATGCAAAAATCTGCCGCCGCGCTTGTGCGGCATTGGTTTGTTCAGTGAACGTGGTTTGGGTCGCGGGTGGGTCGCGGGCTCTCCACCTCCACCTGGAAGGAATGCAAAAGCAGCCCGCCGCAGGCGCCAAAACAATTGGTTTGTACACTGAACGTGGTTTGGGTCGCGGGTGGGCCGCGGGTTTTCCACCGGGAACGAATGCAAAAGATGCCCACCGCAGGCGCCGAAAAATGCGGTTTGTACCCTGAACGTGGTCGCGGGTGGGCCGCGGGCTCTCCACGTGAAACGAATACAAAAGATGCCCGCCGCAGGCGCCGAAAAATGTGGCTTGTACCCTGAACGTGGTTTAGGTCGCGGGTTGGTCGCAAGTTGGTCACGGGGTGGGTCGTGAGCTCTCCACCTGGAAGGAATGCAAAAAAAAAAACCGCCGCAGGCGCCGAAAAATGTGGTTTGTACCTTGAACGTGGTTTGGGTCGAAGGTGGGTCGCGGGTGGGTCGCGGGGTGGGTCGCGGGTGGGTCGCGGGTGGGTCGCGGGCGGGTCGCGTTTGGGTCGCGGGTGGGTCGCGGGGTGGGCCACGGGCGGGCCGCGGTGTGGGTCGCGGGGTGGGTCGCGGGGTGGGTCGCGGGGTGGGTCGCGGGTGGGGTCGCGGGGTGGGTCGCGGGGTGGGTCGCGGGTGGGTCGCGGCTGGGTCGCGGGTGGGTCGCGGGGTGGGTCGCGGGTTGGGTCGCGGGTGGGTCGCGGGGCGGGTTGCGGGTGGGACGACGACAACGAACAACAACAACAAACAACAACAACAACAACAACAACAACAACAAACAACAACAACAACAAACAACAACAACAACAACAACAACAAACAACAACAACAACGAGAATCCGCACCGCGGAATTCCACTTCAGCCACGCACCCAGGGACAGTGAATGACCGTTCGGCCCCCTCACTCTGACCAGATGGACCCCCAGGAGAGGTCCAGGAACCCATTTCGAAGAGATTTGCCTTCATCCCCTCTTTACCGATGTCCCTCGGGGCCCAACCAGCTCGGACCCCCTGGCCGCCTCCGAAGTGGTACCTAGGCGCTTAGAGTTAAGTTCGGTCCGATCCCTCCGGCTCGATGTCAATTCTGGCCAGCCCGATCCGATTCGATCCCGATGTTCGGGGGCGGCCAAGAGGGGGGTGATGATTGGGGGGGGTATCATTGCGTGGGCGGAGATAGTTCTTCAGATTTCATGGCGCCTCTTTTTATTTTATCACGTCCCTGGCCCCTCCCATGGGCCGTGCACATGCCGCTGACCATGATTTGCGCCCCTCCCTCTTGGACGCCCCCCTCTTGGTCGACCCCAAGATGTTCCGGCACGATCCGACGCTTCCCGATGCTTGCATGACGCTGGGGTGCATTTTGGCGCGGCCGATTTGGTTCGATTCCGATTGCGTGCCGGTGCAGCCCGATCCGACGGACCTTTGGATTCGATTTGCTTTCTCGATTCGATGGTGGCTGATCCGGCCAGGTTCTTCAGCGAGTGGGACGACTACCAGGGTTTCCTCGGTCTCGAGACGGCCTTCCTGGTCCGCGAGCCACGCCCGCTTCCCCGTAGGCACGTCGAAAACGAAACATCAACAATCTACATGAACAGGAGCTGCCGGGCCCGCCCCGATTTCCTGGATCAGCACTGGACCCCTGGCGGCGCCTCTGGCGCCTTCCCTGGCGCGCTCCGTGCGCCATGGGGGGGGGTCCAGCGCCTATCGAAGAAATCCGCGCGGACCTCCGACAGTTTGTGCTCGTGTGTCTGGAGAGCGTATGTGATTCTGTGATTCCTGTGCAGTAGCGGGCGTAACCGGGGGGAGGGGGGGTGCGGCTGGTAATGTCACGTTTCCCGACGGTGCTGTCTGGGAATATCGACTGCCAGCCACAGACAAATCGGAGGTCGGTTTGCGGCCGGGGTCGCGAATCAATGAAAACTCTCGCGTGTAGTTGCTTCTTCTGTTCCCGCCAGGGAGCAGCCCCACCCCCCTTCGGGGGGGGGACCTGCGCACACCGCCCAAAAGTGGGTACCGCTGCGGAGGATAAAACACGGCCCTGCGCCGGTGAGGAGACTCGCTCTCGAGGAGGAGCAGCACGCAGCACGCAGCTGGGGTCGCTCTCGGAGGAGTGCCAGTCGAGACAAGCGTCGGCGCTTTTCCTCCTTGTTGAGCCTCCTGCTGGGATGACCGCGGGGGTTGCTACGGGGATCTGGGTTACAGGTGCACTATTTGGCTTGGGTGGGTTCGAGAATTGATCTCATGCCACTCAGGGCATTTCAAACCAATTTACAAGCCATGCTAGGCCATGTGTAAACCACCTTTGCACCCACGTAGAATGCCCCTATCCCTCTGACACCCCCCCAAGTTATCCCAGTCGAGGCTCCTCATCGCCACTGATGGATCCGCCTTGAAAAGGTCAGGGTGGACCCAGGGAGTGGTCTGGTCATTGATTTTGACTTTGAGGGGGCTTCGGCCAGGCGGGAGGACCTCCGTTGTATCAAATGGCTCAGACCCGAGGCTTCTTGTACACGAGCATGCCGTGAAGGTGCCCCGACGGATAGTATCCACGAAGAAATCGGCCCTCCGCCAAAGTAAGTGGCTTGTGCTATTACTACACCAGAAGAAATCCTTAACCCGTGTGTCTTGGAGTTTGCGCGTGCAGTCAACGCCTCGCTCTCTTTCTTTCTCTCCTCTTTTCTCTCTCTTTCTCTTTCTTTCCCTGTCTCTTTGTTATTGTTGAACTTCTCGTATGTACAGGTAGTCTCTGTCTACTTGATATGCCTTCTCACCTCCCTCTGCACTCTAATGTCCCAAACCCTCCCTCAACTGTATGTATATGTGTATGTGTGTGTGTGCGTGTGTGCGTGCGTGCGTGTGTGTGTTTAGTGATTGTGTGCTTCCCCTTCTCTCTCGTTCTCACTTCTGTCTATCTCCCTCCCTCTCTCCCTCTCTCTCCCTCCATGTATACATACCCCTCTGATTTCTTTTTTGTGTGCCCAACTTCGCCCATCCATATGCCAACGCATTACCCAAAGGCCTGCGACCCATCCTGCCATCGTGCTTGGGTTGTCCCAACACCGCTGGCCGCGCTGGGGGTAACCTGGCGGCAGCGGTGCAGGTCCACAACGCTGGCAACCAGAAGGCCCTCTCCGACGCGGTGGACGGCGCCGCGTTCGACGGCCTCCTGGCGGGCGCCACCCTCGCCGGCAGGGCGCACCATTCCCTGGTGCAGGCCCTGGGCGCTGCCGCGTGGCTCCAGGCACCGCCCTGCGAGGCCACTGGCACCGAAATCCCGCACGGCCTCGGCCTGCAGAGGCAGCTGCGAGTCCACCTGCAGGAGGAGTGCTTCTGCCCTGCCTGTGGCCGCGGCGACCAGACTAAGCGCCACAGCGCCCTGCGTAGCCAGGCCTTTTGCGACGCCCTGTCCGCGGGCCACTCCGGGACGGAGAAGGAGCGCCCGGGGCTGCTACCCCCGCGCCGCGCCGGGGAGGCCAACCCCCGAAGGCGAGCTGGGCGGGTCCCAGGTGGACGACAACGGCCGCCGCCCTGCCGACGTTTACTCGCCGCGGTGGCGCAACAGCACGGCGGCCGCCTAGGGCTTTGCCGTCGCGTCAGGGTTGTGCGCCGATCTCCTCGCCGCGTCGGCCGTTTTGTTAAGCGCGGCGACAGAGCGGCACGACGAGTTCAAAAGGCAGCGCCGAGACACCGCGCGGCAGTGAGCGGCGCAAAGCTTCACCTTCGCCCCAGGCGCCGCACTGGTTGCGGATCAACATGCCCGGCGACCTTCCGTCTCCCTGCGCAGGGAGAACGCGCAGGCGGCGTCGAGGCGCCTCCAGGCGCAGTCTGGAGGGGCGGGGGTGGCAGCGGCCCGCCTGGCCGCGGCCGCGGCTGCCTCCTTGGCGGACGCCGCGCGAGGCGCCCCTGGCGCTGCCTAGCGCCCCCCGCCCACCCCCCCGCCCTTGCTGGGCAGCGCGGGCGCCCCTGCGCCCTTTCGCTGGCGTCGCGCTGGCGACCCCTCGCGCTCGCCGTCCGGTCCTTAGTCGGCGGGGCGGCGACTGGATCCGGGCAGTCCCCACCAAGTCGCAGCGCGCTGGGCTCGGTCGGCCACCCCGCCGAGATCGCCGCCGTAGGGTCCGTAGCCTCGTTGCAGGTGGCTATTGTCTCCTGGCCTCTAGCCCGGCCGGTCTGCTTCCCATCCCCTCCTCCTTGCCCTCCTCTTCCATCCTCTTCGCTCCCCTCTTGTCCTCTTTCTTGCTTCCCTCCATTTCCTCCTGCTCCTTGCCTGCCGTCTCCGCCTGGCCCCTCTTCCGCCTGCCCGCCCGCCCCGCCGGCCCTGGCCCCCCGCCTGCGCGTTCGTCGTCGTTTGCCTGATTCCTCCCTCTTCGTCCAATTTTGCCGGGAAGCACAGCCTGCCCAGGACCCGCGCGGCGGCGCGTAGGAGTTCGACCGGAGGGCTTGAGCGATGCTGCCACGGCCGTCTTGGAGCGATCAAGAGGGCATCTAGGGCCACCTTTTAAAGCCCTGTCGGGGGCCTTTTGGGCCATTGTAGGCTTCTTAGGACGTCTTCAGGCCCTCCTGGGCGGTTTGAGGGGCCCTCTTGGCGGCCTTTTTCGGGTGTCTCGGGGCGATGCTGAGAGCCTCTTGGAGCGCTGGGAAGCCGAAAAAAAAAGAGGAAACCAATATCTGGCAACAAAAAGCGTAATGGGATTCATCTGCGTTGCATCTTGGGGCGCTTTTGTGGCCCCCATTGGAGCCTCTTGAGGGCTTCTCTGGCCGCGTTGAGGCCATCTTGGGTTCATGGTGCGATTCGGGGTCCTTTTGTGTCATCTGGGCGGGTTCCCAGGGTTTTCTTCACCCGTTTTGGGACCCTCCTGGCTTCCAGAACACGCAAGCGACAGTCCCTAGGAGCGGGAGCACTTGGGAATTCCCAGGATTGCCAATCAAAAGGGGGGTCCGGGTCCTTGAGAATCTCACAAGCCTTCCTAACTCGCGGGGTCGCATGCGCCTTAGGGCACATTTGCGTGCCAGGGGCGCGGTGGCGGATGTCTCATAGTGGTCGCAAGCACTCTCTCTTTTTTTTGTTTCTCTCTCTCTCTCTCTTTTTCTCTGTGTTTCTCTCTCTCTCTCTCTCTTTTTGTTCTCTCTCTCTCTCTTTCTCTCTCTCTCTCTTTCTCTATCATCATTCTGGTCAACTCTGCTCGTATCTCTCTGACCCGGTACTTTTTTACGATCCAAGACCCAGCCGATTGGCCACAACCAAGCTATTATCAAGGGCAGGGGACGACTATGCGCGCCGAAACAAGCACTATAAACAACATCCCCGCCAAGAAGGGGAACACCAACCGCGGGGAAGCAACACTTGCAGGGAAGAGGAAGCAACCCCGCCACTCGCAAATAATCCAAAAGCCTTCCCAAGTGTCCACATCGTCCTCTTTCGAACGGGTCCGCTCCCGACCCCCTGGAACAACCATGTCAGGAGTGTTTTTGACAACGATGAAGTTTAAGGTGATTCCGGTCAGGATTTAAGGTGTTGATGGTGACGATGATTGCGTTTTGGCGTTTTTGTTTTGTTGCGCAAGCGGTTATCCTGTCATGCAACGCCGCAACTGCGGCGTTCGCGTGCGTCCTCCGCCTCCTCCTCCTCCTCCTCCTTCTCCTCCTCCTCCTCCTCCTCCTCCTCCTCCCACTCCTCTTCCTCGACCTCCTGCTCATCGTTCCTCCTCCTCCTCCTCCTCCTGCTCGTCATCCTCCTCCTCGTTTTTCTCCTCATCTTACTCCACCTCCTCCTCATCCTCTTCTTCCTCGTCCTCCTCCTCGCCCCCTCCTCCTCCTCGTCGCCCTCCCCCTCCTCCTCCTCAACGTGCGTCCTCCTCTTCCCCCTCGCCCTGGTCCCCCTTCCTCCTCTCCTCCCCTCCTCCTCCCTCCTTCTCCTCCTCATCCTCTTCCTCCTCCTTCTCCTCCTCCTCCTCCTCCTCCTCCTCCTCCTCCTCCTCTAACTCCGCCTCCTCCTCCCCTTCCTATGCTTCCGCAAGTGCGGCGCCTGACGAGCCCCCACATCACCGCCACTCATTCCAGTCCCAACCGCGCCAGGACTCGCCAGCCCACCAGTCGCTGGCGTTGCGCCACCACTGCTGCCGCTCCTCCGCCTGCCCCCACCCCTGCTCGGCGGCGCGCGGAAAACCCCCGCGGAGCTCGCTTGACCCCACTGGCCCCACAGTGCGTTCTGGCCCCAAGTGCTCTTTGGCCCCCACACTGCGCTCGCAGCAGGAGCAGCCGCAGCTGCGGCATCCGCTGCAGGTTGATCCGCAGCTGCGGCATCTGCTGCAGGTGCATGCGGTGGTGGTTCTGATTGTCCTCGCGCATCTGCTCTGGCCTCGGCTTCTTTTCTACCGCAGCGCCGTTGCATGCCGTCGGGGGGTCGCCTCAGAGGTTCACGTCCAGGCGCTTCTCCTTGACTCTCCAGGGCCCCATTGCCTCTGCCCCGGGCCGCGGCACCGCGAGCCGCAGCCGCGGCCGCAGACTCGGCGGAAGGCTGCAGAGAGGGC